GTGTGTGTGTGTGTGTGTGTGTGTTGTGTGTGTGTGTGTGTGTGTGTGGTGTAGGTGTGTGTGTGGGTGTAGTGGTGGTGTGTGTGTAGAGGTGTGTGTGGTACAGTGTGGTGCGTAGATGCAGCGGACAGATGGGTCTCAGGTTGTTTGGTGTCCTATTGCTACTTTATACTTGTAATAAACTTTTGGCCCGTAAGTTTATTTTCCTCATTGAGCGACCAGAGAGAGGGGGGGGGATATAATCCAGCTCTTGATGTGTTACGTTAGTTATGAGAGTGCTCGTTTGGATTCTGAAGATGTATGACATATATATGGAATATAAGCTACCAGTATATTATATATATATAATATTAATATGATATGTGGTGTGTGTGTGCCGGCATCTGTAGCCTTGTTATTGGTTCATATTACCGCACTGTGAATGAACTTAAAAGTAGAATGTATATAAGTGGTCATGAACACCTCGGTCCATTAGGACAGGAGGGGATGCTTGGCCTCCTGTCATCCACTTAATGGACGTTCTCTAAAATGACCGCTCGGCAGAGGAGAAGGAGTTTCATTTCTTTAACCGCCTGCTTGCTTTCCCCTCCTCTCTCTGCTCGGATTCCCTCCTCAGTCCTACCGCTCGATCTCCTGTGGCGGGGGACTAAGGTCTCGAGGATAGGAGTCGGGGGATAGAGTCGAGGAGGGAGTTAGAAAATAAGAAAGGGCCAGGGTGTGTGTGTGTGTGTGGGTGGTGTGTTGTGTGGTGTGTGTGTGTGTGTTGTGTGTGTGGTGTGTGTGTGTGTTGTGTGTGTGTGGTAGAGTCGGGGACAGACAGGTCTCAGGTTGGGGTTTTGGGGTGTCTATGGCTTACTTTTAATCTTGTAAATAAAACTTTTGGCCCGTATGTTAATTTCCTCATTGTAGCGACCAGAAGAGAGGGGGGGGGGGGGCCTGCTGCTGTGCCTCATGTCATCATTAATGGACGTCTCTTTAAAATGACCGCTCAGAGGAGAAGAGTTCTCATTTCTCTAACCGCCTGCTGCTTCCACTCCTCGGCTCCTCCGCTCGCCTCTCCTGTGGGCGGGACTAAGTCTCGAGGATAGGAGTCGAGGATAGGAGTCGAGGAGGGGAAATTAGTGAAATGAGAAAGGCCCTCTGTGTCTTGAACCACTTCCTTCTCTTGTGTTGTTGTTATTATTTTCCTTTTATACTGGGGACAGTTTAGCTTTTATGAATCCAATGTTTTCTGATGGAGTTAACAGCGGACAGTATATTGACTTACTTGACTGGTTGACATGAATGGGTGTGGTCCCTTGATCAGAGCGTCCTTGGAAACAGTCTGCTATTGAAAAAGGAAGAAATAGTTCTAAATGTTGAAATTGACCAGAATCAAGTTATATTTCTCACAGGCTCTGCCCTCTACTGGACTCTATGGGTACTCCCCTCGATCCTATCTATGCAGGCATTATTTTACTGAGACTCATACCCGTAGCCGGACCCCTGGATGGGCCTACCTGAATGCGCGCGCATCCACCGCATAAGAGGGGGCCTCGCCCGCTCACTGCTATCCCTTTCTCTTTCAGCTAAGCAGCTATTTGAGTAACTGAGCGAGAGATAAAAGGATAGAAAAGAACAAGGAAAAGATTTTCTTCGGAGAATCGAATATGGACTCACCTGAGCTCGACGTGGTGGAGATGGAGGACCTCGTGCAGGGAGTGCCCTTCGTCTTCGCCATCCCAGCAGCCAGGATGGGTCCGGGCATCGGAGAGGAGGACGACGAGGTGTCATCATCGTCGTCCTCCTCTCGGTTAACCCTAACCGCCTGGAAGGCCATCAGCAGAGGTCGGCTCGTCAGGACTTCTCGGCGGTGATGGCTATGGCGGCGGAGTGTGCAGGCTTGCCACTTCCCCCACAGATACCTCCGAGGCCGGTGAGCCGCCTGCATCAGGGCTTCTACGGCACGGGCCGTCCAGCACAGCCGGCCTTCGTTTCACCCCCCCTGCCGGACATCTGGCGGTGTGTGGTAGCGTCCCGGCGGAGAAAGGTGATTTATCCGGCCAGGACACGAGGGCTCCGTCGCAGCGAAGAGGTACCGGGGGGAGCTCCATCCTCCAGGAGTGGACTGACGGTGGGAGGAAGTGTTCCGGCGGAGAGAGGTTATTTCTCCGGCCAGGACACAAGGGCGAATCCCGCCTCCTCCCTTTTTGACCCACTGGTTTCAAAGTCTTCTTTTCAAAATAAAAAAAAGATAAAATGTATTCCAGTTTTAAGTGTCTCTTCTTTCCACACACCCACACAGCCACGTAATGTTGATCGTACAGTTTCCCCACTCGCTGCCCAAGTTGTAACTCCAGTAAAGGAGGCAGCTAGTCCGCATGCGCGGGTGAGAGTGATAAACCGCGCTATGCGGGTACAGGGACATTATGGCCGGTGTAGCAGGGTTAGGAAACATTTTACCCCGAGTGTAAAAACTCCGCTTGATGCATTTTACGGTCATCCTCTCAGCAGAGGCTCCAAAACACAGAAAGTATTTGCGTTTTTTTGCCTGGGGAAAGCTGTAGGTGGGCGTTGGTCTCTAACAGAGACGTGGCACAGCAACCTCCTAGAGCTACGGGCAGTAGTGTTGGTCCTCCAGCATGTCAGACCCTTAATTCAGGGGAGACATGTAATGGTCAGGAGCAATAACAGCACCAAAGTGCATATATCAACAGGCAGGGCGGAGTCCGCTCCGCCGATTTGTTGACCACAGCGGAGGGAAATGTCCCAGCGGAGAACAGGTGATTTCTCCAGGACGCAAGGGCGAATCCCGCCTCCTCCCTGTGTGACTCTTTGGTTGCAATGGCATCTTTCTCAAAAGAGAAAAGATACATTGTATTCCAGTATGAGTGTCTCTTCTTTCCACACAACCACACGGCCACGTAGTGTTGACAGTACAGCTCCCCACTCGCTTCCCAGGTTGTGACTCCAGTAAAGGAGGCAGCTAGTGCGCATGCGCGGGTGAGAGTGATAAACCGCGCTATGCGGGTACAGTGACATTATGGCCGGCGTAGCGGGGTTGGGAAACAATTAACGCCAAGTGTAAGAACTCCGATTTTTTTTTTTCACTGTTTGGGCGGAAAACATCATTGCGGAGCACACGTTCCCACGGGAGTGCGCCGTGGTGCGTTCAAGGACCTCAGTAGAGAGTCGGCCCTTTTTTGTGTCGACCCCCCATGGGCAGAGCTTCCCGTCACGGGGAGTTTTGCGGCGGGGCGGGTCACCAGAGAGTACCACAGCTTTATTGCTGGGGCCCCACAGTTGATCTCCTAGAGTACTACAGTAGTTTTAGTCCTCCAACATTTCAAACCCTTAATCCAGGGAAAACATGTAATGATCAGGATCGACAACGGCACCACAGTGGCAGCGAGGAAATTGTGGTTTGGGGCTGCAGAGGTGGTGTTATCTCTGAGAGCCCTCCACATTCCGGGTCTGGAGAACAGTAGGGCCGACCTCATGCTGAGGGGCAGACCCTTGCCAGGCGAGTGGGCGCTTCACCTGGAGGTGGTGAAGCGGATCTGTTCGCCATGGCTCTGAACGATGACCCGCCTTTGGGGGTAGACGCGTTGCACACGAGCCGTGGCCAGAGAAGCTGCTTTACGCCTTTCCACCGTTGCCTCTCATTCTCCCTCTCCTGGGGAAAGTGAGGCGGAAACGTCTGTCAGTCATCCTGGTAGCACCGGATCGCGTGGGGGTGCCGTCGTACTCAGAGATGACACAGATGAAGGTGGGCCAGCCCTGGGCGCTCCCCCAAGTTGGGTGGCGATCTCTCAGGAGGCAGGTGCAATCGGGGTGTTACCCACTCTGGACCACCCTCTCAAGGCTTGGCTCCTGAGAGGGACAGGCTGAGGCAGGATGGATTGTCTGATAGTGTTATTCAGTCTATCCAGGCAGCTAGAGCGGGATCCACCACAGCCTGTTACAGGCCGAAGTGGCTGGGATTCCGGCGATGGTGTGATGAGCGGAGAATAGAGCCCCTATCTTGTAAATTGGGATCTATTTTTTCGTACTTACAGTTGTTGGTGGACAAAGGGCTTGCTCATTCCACAGTGAAAGTGTATGCAGCAGCCATCTCATCCTGCCATGGGATTTGGCGGCAGGTCAGTTTTTTGCTCAACCGCTGATGTCGCGGTTTTTGCGGGGGGTTAGGAGGCCCAGTGGTTCGTGCCTCTGCCCCGCAGTGGGACCTGCCGCTGATGCTCGAGGCTCTGGTCACAGGACCATTTGAGCCTCTGGAGCTCTCTTCCCTGAAAGCACTGTCATGGAAGACAGCATTTCTACTTGCCTTAACATCAGCCAAAAGAGTGTCTGAGTTAACCGCTCTGTCGGTGCA